AATAGTCTCTGAGATTTGTGGTTGCCTCAGATTTTCGTCCTTTGCGGGGCGGAAGGGGGTGTGGCGAAATTTGACAGGAAACGGTCAAGGTCCGATATCACAGGAGTGTGGATACCAAATTTGGTGTGCTCTGGCTTTTTATGGTTCTGAGATCCTTGAACTCATATTTTGCAATTGGCCATGAAACCTGTGTGTTAGAGTGAGACAGAGCGAGAAAGAGTGAAATTGTTTTCGTGATTCTGGCTGTAATAATTATACGATCTGGTTCAGATTTTGCACTCTAGAAGATATAGTCATCTTCTACGATTCTGCGTTTTAGTTTTCTCGTATCGTCGAAATTGTGGATGCCACAGATTTTCGCCCTTTGTGGGGGCGGAAGTGGCGGGGCAAAGTTTTGAAATATTTTTGGAGCAGTGACATATCACAGAAGTCTGGATCCAAAACATCGTTGCTCTAGCTCTTATAGTCTTTGAGCATTAGGCGCTGAAGGGACGACAGACGGACGGACGGACAGACAGACAGGGTTCAATCGACTCGGCTATTGATGCTGATCAAGAATATATATACTTTATAGGGTCGGAAACGATTCCTTCTGGACGTTACACACATCCACTTTTACCACAAATCTAATATACCCCAATACTCATTTTGAGTATCGGGTATAAAAAATGCAGAATTTCTCTCAAGACTTGAGGCCAAAATCTATAGTCTATTTCTGCAATAGTCAAATTAATAAATATCAATACAAATAAAACAAGCAAAACAACAAATAGCAGTTCACCAAACTCTTTGGACATGGTCCTGTCCTCCGCCATGATGCCTTCTATGTTTAGTCCCGTCCCGAATAGCCTGTCAAACCAAAAGTCAATCCAGTACAGACTATTTCCACCCACAGCGTCAGCCAGAACGGCAACTCTTTTAAAATTGCCTTCTGGAACGCGTGTGGATTGTGACAAACAAGTTGACTAGGTCGATAGTTTTCCTGAAAAGGGAAAAAATACAATTAATGATGGTCATCGAAACACGCACAAGGGCCGTCTCTGTGAGCGGATCCACACTTACACTGCAAAATCCGGCAAACTATCGCAGAGGGGGAGTAGCCATCCTGTTCCGGGACGATGTCACCCACCTCTGCACTGCAGCCCATTTCAAAGCCATTCATCCAGAGTGCCCCTTTCATCGTCTTCCACTGAAAGGAAAATAAAAAGGGAATTATTTTTGCGCCGATCTACTGTCCGCCTGTATCAAGTGGGCGCCCTGCCCATTTTACTGGATTGATATAGACATTTTGAAGAACTCTGCGTCGAAGAACCCAGCATCCGGCTTCCTTGTATGCGGTGACTGGAACGCGAAGCATATTGTGGTGGGGAAATGTCCGTGGATGCGCCAGAGGGAAAGCACTGATGGAGGCTGTACACACAACAACGGCTGCAATTTGCTGGCCACCGGTGGTGCCACACACATCCCTACGACAAAAAAAAGAGACCATCAGCGATTGACTTGGAATCTACAAAGGAATCCACGACACTCACCTGAGTATCCGTTCAAGCTCGGATTTGGACTCTGATCACTTGCTGCTCAGGGGTGGAAGTTGACGATCGGCAGCGGGGACGTAGACATCCTACGCCCACAGTCAGGAACATCTGCTCCCAGCACGTGCCAATATCAGCCTGTTTCCAAAAGTCGCTGGAACGGTTGATCAATCTCAACACCGAGATTAGAATAGCGCAGGACATTGATGACGTCGTTGACTTGTTTTGAACAAATACGGGTAGCAGCAGCAGCAGCATCAACACAACATCAACAGCAGCACCCAAGCACACATCGAAGATGGCCACAGCAGCGTCAGCATCAACATCAGCAGCGGTCACAGCAACATCACCGGCACCATCACCTTAAGCTGGACGAGGCTACAAGCGAGCTGCTTTCCATCAAACAGCAGTGCAAGAGGATCTGGCTGGCGACCCGCACCATCGAAGCCAGACGAAACTACAGGGCGGCGCAAAATCGTCTTAACAAGGGGCTCACAATCCTGAAAAACAAAAACATCAACAAACTGTTCACAGGGATTGACAACAAAGACCGGTTATCAAATGCAGAAACTTTGGAAACTGACCAGCACAATCAAAAGACAGCCGCAGCCAAAACTGGCCACAGAGGCTGCCAACTATGACCGGAGGCAAGGCAAGTGTCTCGTGGACAAAGTCAACAGCCGAGACAGCCGATGCCTTTGCTACTCACCTGGAGGAGAGATTCAGCCCGATACTGTCCAATTCAGATGAAGAGCGGGCCGCAATCAACAGAGAGCGTGAGCAGTCAAAACGGCAGAAGCAGCTACAACCGGACCAGGAAACCAGGATTCCCTTCAGACCAGTCACACTGCCTGAGCTGATGCAGATTGTGGATGCATTGGAGCTGTCCAAATCACCTGGGGAGACAAAATCAATAACAAACTGATTAAAAATTTGCCAAAAAAAGCGCTATTATATTTAATATTAATATATAACTCCATTTTCAGACTGGGCCACTTTCCAAGTCAGTGGAAACATGCCCAGATTAAAATGATTTTAAAGCCGGGCAAAAACACAGCAGACATGAATTCCTACCGGCCAATCAGTCTATTATCTGGCCTTTCAAAGATCTTTGAAAAATTGCTGATGGCGAGACTGTTTGAGGTGGAGAATTTTGCCAAGGCCGTACCCAATTACCAATTTGGATTTCGGCGGGAGCATGGCACTGAGCAGCAGCTGGCTCGAGTCACTCAATATATCCTCAAGGCGTATGAGAAAAAACAAGTTTGCTCGGCAATTTTTCTGGACATTTCCGAAGCTTTTGACCGAGTATGGCATGAAGGGCTGCTGTACAAGTTGATGAAGCTGCTGCCTTTAAATTTGTACTGCATTCTGGAGAGCTACCTGGCTGAACGCACTTTTCGTGTGAGCTGCGGAGACGAGGAACTTTCAAGAATCGGGAAAATATCAGCTGGAGTCCCACAGGGCAGTGTTCTTGGACCAATATTATACACAATCTATGCCTCAGACATGCCAATGCCTCACCTCATCCCGGACAGCACTGGCTTCCATCCAGAACGGGAATCAATGCTGCTGTCCACGTATGCCGACGACACGGTGATAATGAGCGCATCTGCAATCCCAAATGCGGCAGTCAAATATAACCAAAGATACCTGACTCACTTCTCTATATGGGCCAAGAAGTGGTGCATTAACATAAATGCGAAAAAAACCGGACATGTATATTCACACTGAGGACAATTAGATCAACGGACTTAAGGCAAACGCCGACTATAAATGGACAGGCTGTGCCACTTGACAAATCACACACATATCTGGGCATAAAATTGGACAAAGAAACTCACCCTAAGCTCACACATCACGAGGATCTGCACAAAACTCCGATCAAGAGCGGCCAAACTGGACTGGCTTGCTGGCCCAAAAAGCCGGCTGCCAAGCGAAACCAAGGCTATAGTCATCAAGCAGCTCATCATGCCCATTTGGCAATATGGTCTTCCGGTTTGGGGCGCACTTACATCCGATTCCCAGCTGCGACGGGTGCAAAGCCTACTGTTGAGACAACGAGCTTTTTCGCTGACTATGATTGTTCAATAATTTCACAAATTATTAATTTCCGAAAACGTTATAAATTTTATTATAGGTATTTTGTGTGTTGAGGGTGGCCGAAGATGCCAGAGCCTTTTACAATAGTATTAGAGTGACACACTTGGATGAGGCAAGCGAGCCGATCTCGAGCCAAAGTAATAGATTGGGGACAAAAGGGTCTGTTCTCCAACTATATCAAGCGGTAACTGCTAGAGCAGGCGCAGCTGCTGACGGCTTAGCGACGGCATAGGAAAGAAAAGATAACAAGAGCGAGCATAGATAAGAATAGATGATTAAATGAGAGCATGTTGCTGAGCGAGCATAGATAAAGCTACGCTTACGTTACGTTAGTTTAGTATAATGACCAAAATAGAAAAGAAAGTGAATTGATAGGCAATAAAACAATGGTATAAAATTTACACTCGGGCTTCGCCCGAACATACTCCCCCCGTGGAAGGATCCATGCCTTTCACCTCATCTCGTAGAGGCAATAGACATAGTTTTGCAAGTGCTCTTCGGCTAACACCTGTAGCCATCCTGATCAAGGCGACTCGAGATACGCCATCAGCTCCTGGGATGAGCTCGAGGATTCTCGCTAGAGGCCACTTCAGAGGAGGGAAGTTCTCGTCCTTAACAAGAACGACATCATTGACGTGAAGCTCAGGATTCCGGGTGCGCCACTTCGTTCTTTCTTGAAGACTGGTTAAATACGATTGGCGCCAGCGAGACCAAAAGATTTGCTGAAGCTGTGTGACCTTCTGCCAACGGTCCAAGCGATCGACGTTTAAATGAACCAAGTCAGGCTCCAAGAAGGTTGTGATAGGGGCGCCAACTAGAAAATGGCTGGGCGTGAGTACATCGAGATCTGCAGGGTTCTCTGAAAGAGGAAACAATGGCCTTGAATTAATGATTGCACAGATATTGCACGCGAGAGTGCGCAGCTCATCAAATCCAAGAAGCGAGGATCCGAGGGCACGTCGAAGATAATGCTTAGCAAGCTTGACTGACGCCTCCCACAATCCTCCAAAATGTGGCGATCTAGGAGGAATGAAACGCCAATCGATGCAATCGTTGAGACAAGCTTGATGCACGGCTTCTTGATGACTGTCGCTTAGGAATAGCGACTTAAGTTCCGCCAGTTCGTTCCGCGCTCCAACAAAATTTGTGGCATTATCTGACCAAATACGAATCGGTCTTCCACGGGTGCAAATGAAACGGCGAAGAGCAGAGAGGAACGCAGATGTTGTAAGATCCTTCACAAGCTCGATGTGAACCGCCTTGGTGGAGAAGCATATAAAAATGCTCATGTAGCACTTTAGTGGCGGCCGGTTTCGAACTTCTGATTTATACAGGAACGGACCGCAATAGTCCACGCCGGTAACTAAAAATGCACGAGATTCGCTGACTCTGTCCACCGGAAGATCTGCCATTATTTGCTCGAGAGTTCGAGGCTTCACTCTAAAGCATCTGACACACTTTTGGATTACGTGTGCTACGGTCTTTCGGCCACCGATTGGCCAGTACGTTTGACGAATGATGGCTAATAGCGACTGGGGTCCAGCGTGAAGGTGCTTTTCGTGTAAGTGCCGTATCAGAGCAGAAGTGATGGAATGATTCTTGGGCAATATTATGGGATGCCGTGCTTCAAAGTCCAAGGTAGAGTTTTTAAGACGCCCTCCAACTCGAAGCAAACCGCAATCATCTAAAAATGGCGAAAGAGAGGCGATCGAGCTTGAAGCCTTGATGTCCTTTCGCGTTTCCAGGGCTCTTATTTCAGTGGATAGACGAGATTGTTGAGTAAGACGAATAAGCAGTTCGGTTCCCAAACGCAAGTCCTCCACAGTTATTCCAGACTTTCGTCGATGAATGAATTTGCATACATACGCAAAAATTCGTTGCATTTTGGGGAAGGAATTTACAAACTTGATTCTTCCACCAAATATCTTTACGCGCAGTTTGTAATTAGTATGGTTTTTCGTGCCTCCAAAACCGGCTCTGGAAGAGCAGGTGTACTTGGCCATTGATCCTTACTGGCTGTCAAGTATGTAGGTCCATACTTCCAAAGATGAGAATTGATGAGCTCAGCTGGTAATGATCCTCGAGAAAGCATATCGGCAGGGTTTTGATCAGTTGGCACGTGCAGCCAAGACATTCCAGATGTGAGTTCCTGAATAACAGAAAGTCTATTAGCGACAAATACATTGAAGTTGGATGGTTGATTCTTGATCCAAGCCAAAACGACTGTGGAGTCACACCAGCAATAATAAGAGCACTTGAAGTTCATCAAAGACACTTCATGCATAAGCTGAGCGAGTAGCGCTGCACCACATAATTCCAACTTGGGTATTGTGATAGTCTTCAGTGGCGCTACACGAGATCTGGAAGATAGAAGATTTGCCTTGACTCCATTGTCGCCTTGCGAAACAGCGTAGATGCAAGCTCCATAAGCACTCATGCTGGCATCACAAAATCCATGCATTTCAAGGTTGCTGCTTCGAAGGAAAGATAGGCGCGGGAAAGAAATTTGTTGCATAGAGTCAAACTGCTGAATAAAGTTGATCCAAGTTGTGCGTAAGGAGACTGGCAGACTTTCATCCCAATGAAGCTTTTCTTTCCACAGCTGCTGTAGAAATATTTTTGCTTTAGTAATAACTGGCCCTATAAGTCCGAGTGGATCATAAAATCGTGCAATAGTTGACAATACAACTCGCTTAGTTGGTTTCGAAGGGACTTGATTGGGACAGAATGAAAATAATAGCTCATCCGAAGTGGGATTCCATGCTAAACCTAGCGTCTTGGTTACATCGCTGCCATCAGTAAATTTAACAAATGTTTCCCTATCTTCATGGGGTGTTTGATCGAGTACATATGTATCGTTGGAACACCATTTTCTGATCTTGAAATTTCCTTTGGCTAATAGTCCTGACACCTGGCGAATTATTTCCAGCACCTCATTTGTAGTATCTCCCCCCGTTAGCAAATCATCCACGTAAAAGTCCCGCAGCACAACTTCAGAGCCAATTGGATATGACGAACTCTCGTCTGCCGCTAGTTGGTGCATAGAACGGACGGCCAGAAATGCTGCTGGTTTCGTTCCATAGGTCACGGTATCCAGCTTGAATGTCCTTAGCTCCTCGAGGGGTGAGTCACGCCACAGTATGCACTGCAGAAAACTATCTTGGGGCGAGACACGGACGCATCTATACATTTTACAAATGTCACCAGTCAATGCTATACGAAAGGTACGAAATCGAAGAAGAGTCGTAACTAACTTTGGCTGAATTGTTGGGCCTGACATCAATATATCGTTGAGGGAATATCCTGTAGATGTACAAGCGGATCCGTCGAAAACTACTCGGAGTTTTGTGGTGGTTTTGTCTTCTCTTAAGACGCAGTGATGAGGAAGAAAAAATTTGCATTGTTTAAGTGCGTCACTTTTGACAGGGGACATGTGATTCAAATCGACGTATTCCTTTATAAATGCGGCGTATTGGGCCTTGAGAAGCGGTTTGCGAACCAACTTGCGCTCTAGATTGAGAAATCTGCGATAGGCTTGTTGATAAGAATCTCCAAGAAGACTGTCACTCAGCTTTAAAGGCAATTGAACGCAATATTCGCCACTTGGAAGCCGACCGCAATGTTTTTTGAAATGTTCCTCGCAAGCAATTTCCTCCTTTGTTGCTTCTGTAGCGGGACCGTGGCAGTTTTCCACTTCCCAGAACCTTCGCACTAGCTCATCCAAACCAACGGTAGGCGTTTGACTCAATTCCGTCGAACTAGAGGCAGCTAGGAGCACTGAGCTGCGGGAGTACTGACCTCCACCTGTGACAACCCAGCCGAGACGGGTTTTTTGTATTATAGGAAGTCCCCTCTCCAATTTGATCTGTCCAACGCATAAAATGTCGTAAAATAAGCTGGCTCCAATAAGTACATCGATGCGCTGAGATTTGTTAAAGTGTGGGTCAGCAAGGCTGATATTGGATGGCATTTCCCATTTGGATACATCAAATGAAGAAGCAGGCTGGTTTCCTGTAATACGTGGAGCAACGAGAGCTGTGAGACTCGTGAAGTAATCGGAAGTCCTGGATTGAATGACCAAATTAACTGAACCTTCCGTGTGAAATGCAGAATCAGCGCCGATACCCGATACTGATACCGACCCTTTGGCTCGTTTCAGCTGAAGCCTCTGAGCAAAGCGAGAGGTTATTAAATTAATCTGAGAGCCTGAATCCAGAAGAGCCCGGCAAGGAAGAAGATCACCAACTCGACTCTTTATCATAATGACTGACGTGGCTAGAAGCACTACGTCTGAGCTAAGATTCTGAGCAGGAGGCGAGCATGGTGATGAAGCGGCAACAAGAGAACTTGAAAGATTGGGGCCTGGGCATAAGTCTGTCTGAATAGGAGACGTAGTAGCGTTTGCAGGTTCCGTGTTAACTGACGTAGGCAGCGGATTGTTGATATGTAAAAGGGTATGATGCTTTTCACCGCATGTGCGACAAGAGCCTGAACTGCAGGAGGTATTCCGATGTCCCTTCTTCAAACAGTTGAAGCAAACTCTAAGCTTCCTTGCCTCTCTAAGACGCAAAGATGGCGAAAGGTTTCCAAAGCGAGTGCAGCTGTAAATGTTATGCCCTTTATTATCACAGAACACGCATTCCAATACGATTGTATTTGTAGCAACAAGACTGTGTTTTGAATGAGTGATTCGTTTATGTTTTCCAACCTGACTGCTATGGATTTGAATCAACATAGCTTGATCCATGCTCTCAATGGCTTGACATCTCCTCTCCAAAAAAGCCGAAAAATGGTCCCATGTTGGTATGACGTTAGGGGGCGACAGCTCCTCCCATTTGGTCCTGGTATCAGAGTCGAGATACTTGTATGTGGAGTGAACGATGATGCATCCAGCTATTTCCTCCATGGTACCCATCGATCTAAGCGCTCTCATGTGAGAATGAAGCTTGTCCGATAAAGTACGTAGCTTTGTAGTTGACCCATCTTCAACCTTCTCATGCCTCAGAATCTCAGCGACGTGTGCCTGAAAGATTAAACGTTTATTATTGAAACGATTGTTTAAAATGTCCAATGCAATATCATAATTGCTCTCCGATACTTCCAAAGAGCGAACAGCCTCCAGGGCAGGTCCATCCAAACATGAGCGCAGGTGCTGGAACTTCTCAATCTTTGATAGAAAGGGCTCCTGATCTATTACTGTGCTAAACATCGAGTAAAAGTCTGCCCACTCAGTATAACCTCCACGGAAAGTGGGAAGTTTAATGTCAGGAATATGATATCGTGACCGTACATTTCCGGAGGCAGTAACGTTGAGCTCGGGTCGTATCGTTGAGTGATGCGGCATGTTCTGGGTAGTCCTGCGGAGTGCTGAGCGAATACGAACTTCGATTTCCATCGCCAAATCCTCAAAATTGTTGCTTAAGTCGCTGCCAATTTCGCTTACATCAAGCTCTTCTAAATTAGAATGAGTAACATTAAATGAGTCGGATATTTTTTCCAAGAATTTTAAATGAACACTTAGCGCATCTTCACTGATTGGGTTGTTTTCATCATTCAATATCGTCTCTCGAAGTGAAACGGCTTTGTTGTATATTGAGAGTGCCTTTAGTTTGTAAAAAGACACCCTGTTTTCCGGCACGTCATTAGACTCATCCATTTTCGACAGGCAGCAGCGAGCAAAGCACAAAGAAGAATCGAAGAACCAACCGTTTGATTTTTTTTGGTATGCAAGCGCAAGTGCAGCGAACCCGAAGCCGCTAATGCACGTAGCTGTATTAGTGCTTGTAAGCAAGCGCGCGACGAAATGGGAACTAACCGCTTCGCGTTCGAACAGTTATGTTTAGCGGATAATTTTCACTGTTTATAATTGTTTATTTCCAAATTGTTACTGACGATCACGTCGGGGTTACCAAATGTTGAGACAACGAGCTTTTTCGCTGACTATGATTGTTCAATAATTTCACAAATTATTAATTTCCGAAAACGTTATAAATTTTATTATAGGTATTTTGTGTGTTGAGGGTGGCCGAAGATGCCAGAGCCTTTTACAATAGAGTGACACACTTGGATGAGGCAAGCGAGCCGATCTCGAGCCAAAGTAATAGATTGGGGACAAAAGGGTCTGTTCTCCAACTATATCAAGCGGTAACTGCTAGAGCAGGCGCAGCTGCTGACGGCTTAGCGACGGCATAGGAAAGAAAAGATAACAAGAGCGAGCATAGATAAGAATAGATCATTAAATGAGAGCATGTTGCTGAGCGAGCATAGATAAAGCTACGCTTACGTTACGTTAGTTTAGTATAATGACCAAAATAGAAAAGAAAGTGAATTGATAGGCAATAAAACAATGGTATAAAATTTACACTCGGGCTTCGCCCGAACACCTACAAAATAAAATCATTAGACGGGCAATGAAGGCGACAAGGTTCACCAGGAACGATGCGATAAGACAGACTCACAATCTAGACACAATCGACGAAGTGTTCCATGCCAACTCCTTGGCTTGCCACGATATCTGCAACAGCTGCTTCAACACTTCCGCCCGCTGCAACCTCGAAATCAGGATCGGAGCAGCCATCAACAACAACATCCAGATCCGGCCATCTCCGAGGAATCGCTTCCAACGCTGGTCCGTATCGAAGAGGAGGAGCTGAAAAGAAAGAGACAGGAGGAATCAGACGCCAGGCAATTAAGAAGAATCCAACAACAAAATATCATCAATCCGAACCCCGAAAGGTTCAACGAATTGATGATAAATTGCTTCAGAAAACGATACCTCAGCGGCCAAACTCCCCGAGAAAGAATAGTGGCTCTTATCTTTGGCCAGCCACTTTCTGTCCAAAGGATAATCCTGCCAGATTACGAGGGGGATCCCGATCCAGCGACGCAGCAGCATACCCAGCAGCAGACTCAGCAGCAGACGCAGCAGCAGACTCAGCAGCAGATGCAGCAGCAGACGCAGCAGCGGACCCAGCAGCAGACGCAGCAGCGGACTCAGCAGCAGACTCAACAACAGATGCAGCAGCAGACGCAGCAGCGGACTCAGCAGCAGACACAGCAAATTCTGGCGAGCAGCAACCGGCAGACGTCACATCATCGTTGCCAGACACGGGCTGCAAGCAGCAGCTCACGCACCCTGGACGACAGCCATCGACGCAATCCGCAAGAGGCACTTCTGGACCACGGACTGGAGCAAGTCCGACGGCGCCTTGAACGGGTGGTCGACGACGACGACGACGACGTCCAAATCATCTCAGATGACGACGACGACGACGTCCAAATCATCACCGATGTCCAATCCATCTCAGATGACGATGACCACAACAACGACGATGATGCCGGCCGGCACATTGCGCACACCGCCACAGTCACTCCGCACTTTGGTGCAGCAAGGCGCCGCTCACTGGGATGCCGCAATCCGGCCGCAGCTAGTCCAATACTCTTGTGTTGGTCTTTGTCGGTATTCCTGGTGAGTGTAAAAATGGTTTTAATTTGCACACCTTCATTCCATCCACAGAGAACCAAAAATACTCACCTGAAGCGCGTGAAAACACGCTTGCGACACCGGGCGACACCCCTAGTTGCTCCTCTGATCCTTTCTCATGGGCGTCACCACGGCATCCGGCCTCCAGAAGGGCTCCGCGGACGAGAGTCATCACGGCTGCTGGTTGGCCATGAATGCCAATTTGGACACGCTTGCGCTACACACATGGCGCATCCGAATCCACGCAGGGGTGGTTTTCCTGCACTTCATGGCTGCTGGCAACCATCGCCACACAAATTTGGCCGAATCCCGGGCCACCTGGAGGACCACGGCGATCGCTCCATCCACTCTGCACGGCGCTGTGCATTGTCCACGTCTCCTGCCGCACCTTACACACGCGCTCACCCAGCGCCGTACGGTTGCGCACCGTGCCAAACACTCTGCTCCAGACGACGACGATGATCCAGTACCTGCAAATAGAAATAAAATATAATTAAATTAGATTAAAATGTAAACAATTGTTCAAATATTGTCAATACTTATCTGTTTGTGACCACCTGCTGATTTATGTACGTTAATCCTGTGATTGACACATAAGGGCTGCCAGACCATTAGTTTCATGTTTTAATGTTAATGTTAATGTAATGTCAATGTAATGTTAATGTTAATGTTAACAGCCCGCCAATTTTAAAATCACATTATTGTTGTTAGTTAAGCTTAAATGTAAATTGCCGAAGTTATGGTAATAAGAAAAGCTGGAAATAAACTCCGCCAGTAGCAAAGCTGGCGGGCGAGTGTGCGCATCGTAGGCGTGCACGCGCATCTAATTACATCGAAAAAAAAAGTGACTTGTGTTTTTTGTTGTTTTATGTGGAACTTTAAATGTTTTTAAATACATGTTTAAACCGGGAAAATGAACTAAATAAACAATATGTGCCAAATAATTGCAAATAATGCAATATAATCATCTGTGATCGCGCTGTAATAGTGAAGCCAATAAACCCAACTGGAGGAAAGAGGAAGGAAAAGCAAGCTACTGAGTACCTGGACCAGGCCACCAAATGGACGCACTTGCTCCAAAACAGACGACCAACAAAATGGATGTTATGGATGCTATGGACAACTCGGCAAGAGCCGAAGCGGGTGGTGAGTGCGTTACTCAAAATAGTGCTACCTACATATCGACCAGGCCCCTGGGAGGGAACCCCTCCGCAAATGCTTCCCTCTTCGAACCAATGTTCGACTCAGAGGGGGATGCGGATCTGGCTGAGTTGGAGACGGACTCGCCAGAGAGTACTGTGAGCTCCTTGGGAGCTACGGTGCTGGAGTTCGAGCGTCGTTTCGTGGACAGGGGTTTATATGTTAGAAAATACCCGCCAATCCCACCAAAAACAGACGCCAACATACAAGAAAAACCGCCATCAAATACACGTACAAACACGCAGACAAAAATAGCTCCCAGCGAAAGTGCAACGGGTTCCAAAAATAGCAGCGCTTTCGCACTAACAAAAGAGCATTTAAGTGCACATAAACAAAACAAGAACAAATGTTATGCCCATATGTTTTCGCGCCAAAACATTAGCGAAAACAAAAACAAGCAAACAACTCACACAAGCATCAGAGAGAGCGACGCTTGCGCTCTCTCAGCGTCCGAGCCCTTGGCGCACAATCAAAACGGAGGCGCGTCACATCAAGCCCCAAAGCGTTTGCCGCCAAACTTGCACTCACACACTTATGACAAAAAGAGAGATGCTTGCTCTCTCCCGCCGAACCATAAACCCCTGACCTACGCCAATAACAAAACAAAAACAAACACATTGACATATGCCGAAACCATAAACGGCATACAGAAAAACAATGACCAGCAACAGCAACAACGTTTGACGACAGCTGAAAGCAATAATACTAGCAGAAGCAGAAAATGCTTGCTGCCTACTCTGACTCAGGCGGACGAGCATAATACTCAGACAAGGCCTAGTACCAGAACACAGCTGGTAAAGGAATGGCTTAATAGCGTTCCCCCGCTACTGGCCAATGAAATGCCCTCGCCCCTGCCCCTTACCCCTATAGCAAAGGATATCCTGACAACAAATTCGTTTCGCTCGCCGCTCAAAAGAAGATGCGCGGCGATCGAAACGGATTCAGATGACGACCACTTTGCCTGCCTGGCACTTGACACGCCCATGTTCAAGAGTCAGTTTGCGAAAAGATTGCATCACGAGACTCGGCAGATGGAGTCAGATGTTGACCAAATATGCTCACCGCTAAATAGTGAGGTTCCGGTTCCACCAAGTGAGGTTCAACATAGGGAGCCACAAAGTAAGGGGTCTGAAAGTCAACACCAGCCAGACATCAATATAAATATAACGCCCGTCCAACCGTCATTACGCAGCACCAAGGTCCCTACAATCTTCCTGCCCCTGGTGCCTGCAATTGTACCCCTAATCAATAAATTGACAATAAATCCGAACGTGGGGAAATTCACGACGAAATCGATGGCCAACAGTGGACTCAGAGTCCAGTGCGACGACATGACAACATACAACGCCATACAGAACGCCCTTGCTGAAGATAGCACTCAACTGCATACACACCAGCCGCGCAGCGAAAGGGGCTATCGTGTAATAGTGCGGCATTTACACCACACTACGCCCAGCAGCTGGATAACGGAGGAGCTGGAACGACTCGGATACACTGCCCGGTTTATCCGAGGACTCAAACATCGCTTTAATGGAAGGCCTCTAAACATATTTGAGGTTGAAATTCAGCCCAAGGCGGATGGCGGCTATGAGGCAATACTCGCAATTAAACAACTGGCCAGCCAATGCGTCTCCATAGTGAGACAAGCCAAGCCACGCGACCCAGCGCAGTGCCATCGGTGCCAGGAGTTTGGCCACACAAAAAACTATTGCAGACGGCCATACAAGTGTATGAAATGCGCAGGAGATCACCCCACAACAGCATGCAGGAAACCCAGGCAGGAGGATCCCAAATGCGCCAATTGTAGCGGCAAGCACGTGAGCTGCTACAAGGGTTGTCCCGCCTACAAAAAGGCCCGCAGCCATTTAAGGGCAAACAGGCTCATCGGTGAGCAGCAGAGGCAGCAGTATCAACAGCAACGCCAGCAGCCTCAGCAGCCAACTGACCAACAACGCCCACAAACTCAGCAGCCGAGTCGCCAATCCCAATCCCAGCAACAACAACAGCAGACAGCAAACACAGGCACCAGAGGCAATGGCAGGCCTTCCTACAGCAGTGTGTTGCGGTCTGGGAATGCTGAGCAGCAGCAGCAGCCACGCGCGGCAGAACGGCAACAGCCGACGAGCAGTCGTCGTCCTTCCCAGCAACAGCAGCCCCATATCCCCGCCCCCAAGCAGCAGCAGCCATCACAAAAGAAGCGGCCACAACACCAACAGCAACAGCAGCATTCAAGCGGCAGACAGGCGGCCAAACCAGCAGCACAAACACCAGCTGCAGCAGCAGCAGCAACGCCCAACACCCGCAGGCCCTTGTATAGCCGAGGTGCTCAAGCCAATCCGGCCGAAAACCATTTGGCCAAGTTCCAGCAAAATCTAAGGGATGAGCAGCAGCAGCAACATAAACAAAAACAGCAGCAGCGCGGACACAATTTGGGTCGGCAGCACCAGCAGCAGCACCAGCATCGCGGCCATCATTCCCAGCCACAGGCCAAGGGGCGCCAATGCCAGCGCGATCAACGGGTGCAGCCAACTCCAAAAAGTTTCCAGACGCCGAGAAATCCCCAGCATCAGCAGCAGCCAGCCATCCAATGCGATGGCAAGTGTGTGGGACTCCTAAAAGAGTACGCCGTTAAAATTGAAAACTTGGAAAAAAAACTGCAAGAACTTACCACATTAATTGCAAGCCTGACGGAAGCAAAGGGCAGTGGCTCAGCAGCGGCCAATCCTCCAACACAGCCACCAGCAGCAGCACCAACACCAACACCTACAAGACCCGCCGCCAATACACAACCTGACGCCGCAGCCGTATCGGAGGACTCTGATATGGACTGCGAAGCACTCAGCGACGATGGCGACGACCAGTGGACGGACGACGAGATAGCGGATATCATAGACGACTACGATAGCTACTACTCTGACTACTTTTGATGAGCCCAAAAGTCGGTCCTGAGGCAGCCACTAAATACAGATGGAAAACGTTAACTCACATAACCAATACGTACTCACCTGACACGCCATCGACAGAGCTGCCCCACCAGCAGATGCCACGACAAATAGACCAAACTTTTGCTGCTAATTTGACGACATTCTTGGAATATATTGACGACGCTCCTGACAATTCACCGCACAGGTCCAGAGCAGCCACTGAAACAAACCAAAAATGACGTCAATTCGCATACCAACAAAATATGGACAAAACTCAAAATAATCACACGTACCTGCCACGCCTCCGACAGATCTGCCCCTCC